GACTAAGGAATTATTTTCAGAATTTAAAGATGACATTTTGTTGCTAATGTCTTTTCGAAGCGCTGGCGTTGAAATTGATGAGCAGTCGGAGGCCCGAGCTCGGTCGTTATCTTAGAGCATCTCCTACTAACAGGCCTTAAGAAGTGTTAGGTTCCTGGCGTGGCGAATGATCTCGCCATCAGTCAGAATGAGTGAAAGACGGCGGAACAGTTCCGCCGTCTACTTAGCCCCTTTAGTCTTCTGGCTCTCGTCCACACGCCATATAGCACGACACCAAAAGTAATCGCTCATTATGGAGCGTTTTCACAACTTTTCCCAGGTTCTCCTTACATTAAAAGTCCTGCAATAGCGTGCATTTCATTTCAGTCACGACTACCCGAAGAGGAATCGTATAGTCGCTTGGCTCTATGAAGTTCACAATTCTGTCGAATAAGACCAGTGACAGTTACCAACGACACTCTTAAAATCTTACTGATGTAAGGACGATTTGGAACCGTCCACTGATATGTTCTAATTGCATGAAAAGCTACCCCCATGAGTGGTCAGGTGGCTTGCACGATCTAAAAATAAATAGCCGCATGCGAATAAAAGAATACAATTAATCTTCTAACGCAGATTCGAATGCTCTGTATTTATTACGCTCATAGTACTTCGTGGGACAATTTCTCGATTGCGAAATGACTGCATCAAACCACGAGAACAACAGCCATGTGCTTCAAGACCATGAGACAAAGCAAGGCGTATGGAAAGCCAAACTTCGGTCCCGACCGAAATTTTACTCATTATCATCATCAGAAACTAGTTACGTTTGAACAGCACCTTACGAATTTTTATCTGCCATGTTGGGCTGAAAATCTTAAACAGCTTAATACACAAGTCATTCGGCTCCTTCTCGGAATGGGTTTACTAATGTGATTTCGTCGGCATAATTTTTGGCCTTTCAATGGGTCTATTCACGCTCATGGAGCGCTTAGAACGACGAATCACATCTATTTTACTTCTCATATCTGATCCGGCGAACGACTCAACAGTGTAGAACCACACCCGATGTTCACGATCTATACCGCACGCACGGTCTGCTCATGGCCCGTAGGTCCCAAACACAAGATGTACAAAAAGGACTCCAGACTCTGAATATGAGTGGTTGAGTCCGCTATCCAGATCCTCAGACAGCAAAGGTATCTCCCCCAGGAAACGTCTTTTTGCACATTGCCACATGTGAATCACTACAATCGGCGCGAGTAAAATCTTCCGAGAAGTTCAATCGGGGGCGGCTAAATCCGACCACAGTTTCGCATTTGTTTCACGCCACATTGTTGCATAAAAATAGTTCAAAGGTGTTCTTCACTACTTCCGTTATACAATTGCTCACAGCTACCGTCAACCGGCAGTGCGTTCCTCTTCTTCAAGAATGCTATTTTCAATCCAGTCATGTTAATTTAAAGTTGTAAATTCGGAGACCTGCCAGTATGAGGAAACCTTAAATGATAAGACCGGTGCGTAGTTCCATACACGTCAAGGACGCATCAAAGGTTCCTAGTTAGGTGGAGATTTACTGTAATTCGGTGGATGGAGTGATTTAGTTGCAAAATGCGGCCTTCAGCGTCACATGGCTTTTCCCATTCGACTAAAACGCGTGAGGCCTTGCAGCTCACTGTTTGCACAGATGTGCCACTGCTATCGACCCAATTTAAATGCAATTATCGATTTTTTACTTCGGTAACATCTCGCTCGCATA